TGGCCCTTCGTGACTTAGCCTCTACTTCCCGTCTACACCCTTCCACTCCTGGCTCCCAGATCGTCTCAGCATTTTGGGGCACACCATGTGCTCTCCTGCCCATGTGCTCAATTGATCAGCGTGCTCTCTCCTGGGGAAGCTGTCTGAGTCCCTACTGGCCTGGTCAGGGGAGAAGTCCCTTTCTTTTTTCTTTCTCTTCCAGCCAGAAAGACTGGAAATGGTCACTGATGATTCCAAGGCATATACTTCATCTTCCCCCTTTCCAATCAACCCCTTCTCTCATACACCATGAAAAGACCTTGATGACAATCTCCAGCCTTGAGCTACCAGTGGGTTCATCCAGCTCCTGCAGTCTGGAGCACTGAAATTGCTTTCAATGGGACCATCTTGTCTCTATGAAAGAGCTTAAGAACCTGCTTTGGAAGGCTGAGGACCTCCAGATTGACTTTCCCATTCGCCGTTCATTCTTTTGACAAACACATTGAGCTCCTATGATGATCAGGCACTGGCCATGGGAAGTGGGCTGAGAGAGACTCAGAAAGCACCTGCTCTCCAGGGTCTCACAGTTCAGTGACAGCCCTCCGCCCCATGCTCCTCAGTGTCCAGGTGTATTAAGCAGCCACACCAGGAAGTCCTCCTAGCCATCCCACCTCCTGAGTTAGATCTCTTTCATTCATTTATTCATCCAAAAAATACATACTGAGCACCTACTGTGTGCCAGGAACTTTTCTGAGCTGGCATACAGCAATGCCCAAGACAGACAAAAACCCTGGTCCTCATGGAGCATATATTTCATGGTTGGGAAGAGAGACAGAAAAACAAATGAGCCAAAGACACAAAGTTGGAAGGCACTTATAAAGCAAGGAACCAGACAGGAGTGCAGGGGAAGAGGAGGATGTTATAAATAAGGTCGTGGACTTCCCTGAGAAGGAAAGTGACCTTTGAAGAAAGACCCGAAGGAGGTAAAGGAACACGACACCACACCACCGCTCCCCCACCCCATTTATGCAGTTTTTGCAGCCAATATGTTAGAGCTGTGATTCCAGAAGGAAAACGGTGTGTTATCTCTACCAACAGGAAAGGAGCCTGTATGGAAAAAAGAAGAAAAGCCCGGGACGACCGACAGTTCCACGTTGAACTGTCCCTGACCGACACTCGAAAACCAGCTCTGGGGCAGAGCCGGCCCTCCAGGCCCAGGGGCTCGCCGGTCCCCTGATCGGGGCTGTCAGGCCAAAGCCGCCGCCTCCTCCCACCGCGCCCCGCCCTAGGGAGCGTTTGCTCGGGTGACTAAAGTTCCAGCCCGGCTGCAGCAAGCCCTGGGAGGCGCTTTGTACAGGACAGCGGCGCGACCGCCCGGGAGAAGCCGGGGAGCGGCCCCCGGAAACCAGGCGGCGGGCCGAGGCCGCGGGGCTGGGCCGGGGGTCGGGAGCGCGGCGCCGGCGGGGCGCACGGAGGCCCCGCGCCTCGGCACCGGCCTGGGGCTCTCCGGCCCTCTCGGTGGGCCCAGAACGGTCCTTCCTGAAATGCTCCAACTCCTGGGGCCCGGGACCGCCGCAGCCCGCGGGCTTGGACAGGGCAGATGGAGGGCGCGTTCGTCCCGGGCCGCCCGGGGACACTCGCGGGGACGCTGTCCTGCCCGAGCCCGGGTCTCTCCCGCGCCGAGTTGCACAACAAACCGTTTAAACATTTCAGCACAAAACCCGATCCACGGTGGGGCCGCACATTAGAAAGTGTTATTCGCTTTGAAGTTTTTGTCTAATGGGTCTAAACTGAAAGAAAATGTTTTCCTATTACTTAATTCAATCATAGCGAAGAGACTTGGTAAAAAGCCCACGGATTTTGCCCCAAAGTGTGACAGAGTTCTCTTTGTGTTTGCTTATCCTCCGCTGTCACACACTTTAATTCGCCTCTCTTTATCTGGCATTCAAAACTTTCTTCAATGACATTCAATAAGGTCCAGAGGCTGGAGGGAGAGAGAGAGAGAAAAAAAAAGCAACTGGTTATTCCTCCCCCCCGCCCCCGATATTCTTTCCCAGTAGCTTTGGCCTTGCTCGCATTCAGGGGCGCTTAACCCCTTCCTCCCCGGGCGCGCGGGGCGGCTCCCAGCAGAGCTCCGCACCGGCCCCTCGCGGGCTCGGCTCTGGGACTCGGTGGCCGCCCCTGCCGCCCCCCGTCTCCGCGCAGCGGGGAGCCCCTCTCCCGTCTCAGGTCCCCGTGCTCCGCTCGCTCTCAGCAGCCCGGCCCGGACCAAATTCCCAGAGAGCAATTAGAACGGGAATTAGGCAGCATTGATGCGTTCTGCCTGGTTTGCAGGCACCGCCACAGAATGGGGGAGCTTTGGGGTCGACACCGTGTCGTCGGGGGGGTGCAGCCGTGCTCCCCACCCCATGCCAAGCAATCAAGGAAACACTGGACCCGTTACTCGTACTAGATGACAGGCCCTCCATGCAGGGTATTTCCCCAGTGCCTCTCTCTTTTATGGAAGCAGTTTTTCTCTCCCGTAACAAATTGTTTGCTTTATCCGTCATAATTTATTGCTGTTGTTATTACAAAGATGTCCCAATGATTTTTTTTTAAATGATGACGCTTTGGATGTTGGCAGCCTCATTCCCGTGCACTGATCCAACCCCACCCCCAGCCCCCCAAAGCTTCCCCTTCCATTTCTCACAATTCTTTTCAAGGCCCAGAGCAGGTGACTGCGGCGATTTGGTCCCAATAAAATCGAAAGTAAATGTAGTCCGTGAAAAGTCCCGGGCTGTAAAATCGAGATAGTTATGCTAATTTCCCATTGTATGGAAAAAGCTCCTGGGTGAAACAGCTTTGAGCCGGAGGACGGTTTAAAAAGCTGAAGCTGTGTACACAGCGCCGGGCGTTTGAAGTTGTTTAACCATTGTGTGACCAGAAAGAAGACAGTGACAGCGGCAGGAGGAAGGAGCCGGTCTTGAGGACAGAGGAGCCCGGTCAGAGTGGGCGAAGGCAGCGGAAGCTGGGAATAAAAGTGCCCTGCGCCCCGCTCGGAGCTGCGGCAATGGTCCCCGAGCGACCGGCGCGTCTACCGCAGCGCGCGCGGGCGGAGGCCGTGCACAGCGGCCGCGCTCGGTCTGCACCGCCCAGGCTTTGGCTCTCAGTCCGTCTCTGTCCGTGACTCTCGGCGACTGTTTCTCCTTTTTACAGCCACAGCCCTGTCGTTTGAAGGACAGGGCTAGTTGGCCAGCGTCTACTGAACACAGACTGGGTGTTGCAGGCGGCACCAAAGTTAGGGCTATTCGACAAACTTAGAGGACACAGAGGGACAGCGATGGGGCTAGTGCTGGAGGAGGAATAGTGAGTGTGTCTCCCCCAGAGCGGGGGGACGCCCTCCCGCTTGCACGCAGCGAAAGAAGGGGTCATTCCTCGGATGGAGGTCGAACGCCAACTCCAGGGACGCTCGCGGGGTGCACAGCTCTGAGCCGACAGAACTAAGGGGAGGCAGCGTGCTTCTGGGTGCGGGCAGATTAGAGAAAGAAGGGGACCGAGACCGAGTGTGCAGAAGAGTGGGGGTGTGCCGCTGGGGATCTGTGGGATCGAGGCAGCGGGGGTTCAAAATCAGTAAGATAAACGGCCGATCGCCAACGCAAAGCCAAAGGGGAATAGAGAGTAAAGAGAAAGAAAAGAATATTAAATCGCGGGAGAATGAGAAAATAAACCCGCAAAAGGGAGAGGAGGGGGCGAGGGCGCCTGTTACGGCGTGGGTGGGGTTGAGAAGAATAGAGTACATTATGCAGTTCATTTAGTTAACAAGTGAAATAATGAGGAAGCGTGCAGAGTGAATGCCAAGAGAAAAGGCACAAAAACCCTATTGAGAGGCCCCGGCCGCTCCTGGCGTAGCCCATCACATGGCAATAGTCCTATTTAAGCGGCGCCGCCGGCGCCTTTCAGCACCACTAGCGCTGGCCAGCACCCCGCGCTCTTGGGGCGGCGCGCGCGGCAGCGGCGGCGGCGACGGCTTCAGCCTCCA